GGAAGAGTATCCAAGCAATGGGACCTGACGTCTTGCCTTCGTGTCCTTGGAAGGCAAGTCATGCCCGACTGCGTTGTTCCTGTCCGAGTATCCAGAGGTCTCTGCCGAAAGTAGCTGACATGGTCGAGGATGCCGCCGTCTGCTAGCAGCCACTAACCACTTTGGTGTGGAGAGGACCTTCCGCCCAATATTCAATACATACCTGTGCAGATTTCTACCAACAAAAAAATGTTTCCCGCACCTGGACCTATTCAGGGTGCTTCGTCGCCTCAGACCGCTAGCCTTGTTCCGTGGCCGACCTGCTCGCACAGTACTTCTCAGTTTGCCTTGCTTTGTGTGTGTGTTGTTAACTTAAGGTTGCCTCTTCAGAGAACTCTGATGAGGGTGGGATAGGGTAGGCCAGCTCTGAACGAGACCATGTCGTCGACGGAGCTTGTTTTAAAGCTTGCTAGCATTGTGTCCGCTGCCCACAATGAGGTCCAAAGCTTCAGATCCTCCTGGGCCACAGTCCCAAGCTAGCCGTAGAGTCGCCCCTGCTTGGCGGAACGACGGGACGGCGAGTGCCCGGAAGACCTTGGCTCCTTACAGCGAGCAGCGCGTTGTTCGAACCTCAACTCGTCCCCCCCCCGAAGCTCCTCTTCTCAGCTTCAGGCCTTCTGAATGACAAGTGACAAGTTTCAGCTTTCAGGTGTTGCGCCGAGCGGGGGGACTTTGGGCGTCAGCTTGCAATCTTGCATGCTCCACGATGTGACGAGGATCTCCTGCATGTGCCTTCGCCGAGCTCCTGGGCCATCGGCCATCACTTCCGGCAGCAAATGGCAAAGAACTCCAAAATTGCACCAATGTGGGAATCGAGGCCGTCGTAGCTGGTCACTTTCTGCAGTTGCCTTGACAGTAAGTAGACGTCCCCTGGAACTCGTGCGGCCGCCTTTGCCTTCGCAGCAAGAGGCTTCTCTCCGGCCTCCGGTCCGCCAGATGGGGCGGGAGCGCCACTCCGATCCAAAAGCGCCTGGATACCGGCCTCTCCCCAATGGAAGACTCCGCAGCTGTCAGGCGAGCAGGCATACCGGTCTCCACGTCTTCCTCTCCCTCGAGGTACTCCTGAGCCGAGTGGAAGCTGAAGTGCTCCCCGGCAATCGCAGTCAAAGAAGCTCCTAGAGGGCACACTGCTGCCGGGCCCCCCCCCGTAGGTCCCCCGGACCCCGCAATGACGAAGATGACCTCGGCTCCCTCGTCTGCTGTACCAAAGGTCGTCCCAGTTGTTGCTCACCGCTGGGAAGAGTATCCAAGCAATGGGACCT